GAACGTCTACGTTCTATGGATCCAATTTGCCAAATGTGATTTGGAATATATATATATGCATATATACTTTTATTTATGTATATGCTTTTTTCTCCATATAGGATAGATTTTATTCCAGAGGAGATACAGAACTATTCAGTTCTACTCCTGTCTTAATTCTTCTTCAAAAGCACCCTGTAAGAAGCTTTTCCATACATCCAGCAACTCCATACTTCACCAAATGGTTTATCTTTAAATCCTATACGATATGTCATGAACTAATAAGATCTGACTGTTGCCAAAGGCTTCTGTAATAACCAGTCATTTAGCTTCATTACTGATCCATTTCAGATATTCTTGTTAAAAGTAAAGTTTTGAAAATAAGCTGGTAAGAAAAGAGCATCTTGGCATTAGCTGGGTTTCGTCATTCTTTTTTGTGTAGGAAATATGTTGTAGACACCAGCATCCATATCTACACAAGTTAACAAGAGAGGATGATGATAGGGTGCCATGCAGAGAGGATATTCACTGAGAAGCGTCCATACGAGTCTTTCCTTCAGGACTATTGAGACTTATATTAAGTAGAATTAATAAAAAGCACAGTGGTAATAAGTGAAATTGTGTGTATTCATAATTTCTTTGATATTTTCCACTTGCATGATAACTGAAGACAGGGAGACTTTCAGTGTGGTGATTCCCAAATTTTACTGCGAGAAGCCACTGAAAGTAAAAACTGCATATGTTTGAAGTCCAAAGAAGCTGAATAACTAAAAGTGAGATTTCTCTCTTGTGTTGGAGTACAGTTCTCAAGCCTGAATTTTTAAGAAGCTCTTCTGATCAGATACCATTCAGGGCAAGGTGATGCTGAGCTTTGTCCTTTTAATCTGGTATTTTAAAGACAGTACTTCAGAGCCCTGCAAGCTTTCCGTTGTCGCCAAGTCTAAGATACGAAAGATATGAAAGGATAGGAATGGCAGGGAGATTAGTGGGGCTGGAAACCCATGGGAAATCTGTGGCTCTTTTGCTTGAAGGGCTTAACACTCATTTTCTGTCTGGCCTCATGAAAGGAGCTGATGTTGTTCACCTCAGATGATGATGTTTTCTTTGCAATAACATACTAATAGGGAGAAAAAAAAATGCAAGGGCTTGTTAATCTTAATAACTCACATATAAAACAAAGCACTTAGTGTTATTTTTCTTGACTGCAAGTTTTATTTGTGATACTGTTCCTTCTTCCCTTGCAATGTCTATCATCCTCTGTGTGGTTCAGTGCCAAAAAAAGAAAAAATCTGCAGCTCTTCCTAGGAAATTCTCTTTCAAGTTTAAGCATTCTTCATCAGACTGTGTCTGTTACTCCAACAATGTAAATACTCCACTTTGTTTTTGTTCACCTTGGATATTTAAGTCACAGCTTTCATATGTACACAAACAGTGGCTTTGTTGGAAAGCAACAAGATGAGACTGCAATACTTGCATTATAAATCAAAATCAATATGCTTTTTTTTTTTTTTTTTTTTGACATTCAAGCTCCGTGTTTTATTCTTAAGGAAGAGCTTCTTCATATTGTCGGGGCTTTGTGGAGGCCACCAAAGCCAGAACTGCTCTCTAAATTTGCAGCAGTAGCCTCTGCAGCATTCTTTCCTTCTATTCTATCAACTGCCCCACATAGTCTTGGGTAAATATTTAAGAACTTGTATCGATCAGAACAAATTTTCTATAGCTATTTGCTTTTTGTGCTCTGCTCCTTATTTGTGACCTGCCAGCTGAGTCACCTTGCACTGCCTGATTGTACAAGCTGCAAAGCTTGTCCCTTGAAAATACCTGATGCACAGGTATGAATAATATGCATTCTTGCTTCTGGCAGTAGGAGAAAAGTAAAGTTTAATCTGCTGCTAATTTGGGTCAAAATTTTCAAGACCCTGCAAAGTCAAATTTGTTGGCCTTCAGAAACATCTGTATTAGGATAGCCATTTAACATGGTCCAAACTGTGTTCCCTTATGCCTTCCTGTGTCGCCCAGCCTCAGTTAGATAGGTGTGAGTGAGGAGTAGGGCAAGCTCTGCGCTGGTTTTAAGTTGCCTTTTCTTGATTACTAGCTATAAATCCAAAGCATGCACTTAGCAGGAGAGTCTGGCTGTCTGGAGGCAATCTCCATGCTTAGAGGTAGAATTGCACCTGGGAAGATAGAGATTTGTTGTTTTACATCCATGAGGTATTTGCATTTCCAAATTTCTGATCTTGCTGTGGGCAGATTTGTGGCATCTGCTTTACGCAGACAAATGAACAAAAGCATTGTTGTGCTGTGAAAAGGCATGCCTAGATGGAAGGCTGGCATAAATTGTGATCAGCAGGTAGAGTTGTATCCCTGCATTAAAGCTGCTCTTGATGTATTGCCACTGCAAACAGGAGTTTCCCAAGATGGCAATGCTTTTTTGCACAAAACAGAAAAATATGGACTTATTTTGAACTACGGTGCTTAAAACATGGCAAAAGCATATGAGCTTTCAGACCAAGCTAGAGAGTGGATCAGACAAAGTCCAGCAGGACTTCTTTCTTTCTTTTCAATATCTAGACTGGTTTTGCCTGTGAAGGTACCATCTTGGGCTGTGTCCCACATCAACTGTCTGGGCAAATGCATTGAAAGGACCCTCTTGCAAGACACATGCTTCCAGGTAAGGCAATTTAAGACTGTTTAATTGAGATGGGTGTCAACAGGGTCTGAAATGGGCTGTCCAAGAAGTTGGTGGAGTCACTGTCCCTGGAGGTGTTCAAGAAGCATTTAGATGTTGAGCTAAGGGGCATGGGTTAGTGGGGAAAAAATGATGGTAGGTGGGTGAAGAATAAGTTCGTCCATCCTTTCACAAACCCCACCTGAAGGCAGGGCTGCGGTCAGCTCACTCTGCCTCCATTGCCAGACACTGGATGGATGAGGGAACTGCAATTTGTCTACCAAATGCAAATGCTTAATAGTATGTGAGGATGAAGGCCTCTAATCAAAGTGCTAATAATGGTGAGGTGTCTTTGAGAAGAACCAGTGGAAAAACATGTCACACATCAGAAAGAGTAATTGAATTTTTATCACTTCTGATGCTCTGTAACCAGAATAAATATAGTGAAATTGCATGAGTGCAATTAAGATTTTTACTTGGGGCTAAAAAATTAGCATCAATAACATAAAACTAATGCTTACAGTCATTTGACTGAGATGGGATAATTCAGAATGTATACTGGAGCATGAATATTTATTGAAGACATTTATCCCTTGAATAAAACATCTGAGCATTGAGCACATGCAGATTTACGCTTCCACATTTTTAAAAATCTGGGCTGAGCACAAACAGTTAAATGTTTGATTTAAACTCAGGGCTGTAATGAATAGTAGTTAGGTTTTACCTTCACCTTGGGAGGCAAGGCTTTGACTGCAGATCAGGCTTTTGGGCATCTGTGAGCGGTTGCTGAGGGTATGTGAAGGCAATATTTAAATAATGCAGAAAAGACCAGTTTCTTTAGCTGGCTCTTGTGTTGGCATCAGCTAAGAAGTGAAATGCAGCAGAAAGCAATGATGTCCTCCTGATGTGTGCACCTGGTTGCCCGTGGGCTTTTCTGCAGAGGTTGATGCCACTGCTGCCAGCTCATTAGCTGGGTATCCTTCTGCCTCTACTCTCTCTTACAAAAGATAAATAAATAAATGCACAATTTCAGTTTCTGAATAGAGGGTGTGACAGAAATCCCCTGAGGACCGCACACTTGTCACAATCCTGAAGTGGTGCCGTTGTAATTGGCTGAGTTAAATCTCCTCACTGGATCCCCAGTGAACCTTCTTCAACTAGAGGGAAGTGGGCTGCTGCAGTCTGAGGACAATAAGCTGCTGAAACATCCTGAGTTTGGAAACAGAAGTGAACTTAGGGGGCTGGATCACTGCAAATCCTTAAATACATGTGAACATATTTAACCAACAGATCACATAGACGTATGGTAAATAAGGACAGGGGTCTGTATTTTATAACTTCTTGGTCAAGCAATGAAAATGAAAGATATAATGACCTGGCTGTTTTCTCATTGATTGGTGACTATATAGACTTCACATGATAAGCATGCAGATAATAGCAGCCAGGGGTTGTGTGGGAGAAAGATGTTCATAAATCAGATTAAAGAATTAGAAATTAACTTGGACAGGGTAGATGGTTGATGTGATGGTTGAAGCAAGGTAACAATACTTAAGTTCCTCCACTAAGATCTCTGAATGTGTTGTTTTATTGCAGTAGCTCTCCTTCCTGAAAATATTTATACAATGCTTTTAGTTGCATTTTAAACGCTCTTGCCACTTAATGAGAATGCTGCTCATCAGCTCCCTTGTTTGGACCATGTATGATCACATGTATGGTACAAAACTCTCTCTATGTATTCACTTTCTTGTTAAGACTCAGCAACAACAGTTACAAATACATTAATCTTAAAGCACTATCTTTCTAACTGTTCTTTCTGGGAGTATGTAATGCATTTATCTAGCAGTCCCAAGGGTCTTATCTGAAGACTATTTAAATCAGTGGACCAATTCGCAGTGCTTTCAGGGAATGTTGGAAATGCATTAAAACGATAGTGGGGCACGTTCAGGTTGAAGATGTTTCCTGAAAAGATAGTTGAGCAAAATGTCTGTGAATGATAGAATCCACTGTCAAAAAAATTTAGGGTAGAAATTAAAGCTTAGGATGAAAACAGTATAAAAAGAGAAAAAAAAAATAAAAATCAAAAGCTATCTCATATTCAGGCTTCAATTGTGTTCTTTCTATATTAGGTATCTAAGAACTATCTTCATATGTAAGTGCAGACATGCACATCACATCTTTTGTCCTAATCACATCCTTTTTCTCCAACCTTGACAAGTGCTCTCTTATTGCTCACTTATCCTCTAATAAAACTTGCTGCCCGTGATTCCCCTAGCTTACTTCTTGGAGCATACCACCTGATTTTTTTCTTAATCTAGCTTTTCCCTTTTCTGTTGTTTCAGAAATAGATTTCTCCCTTTCCAGTGCTCTTAGCAGCATCTACACCCCTGTATTTTTCTCTCCTTCAACTTCCCAAGCCTCATTCTTGCCACGATCACACCAGGACAACAGCTTCAATCTACTGCTAAAAGGTATTCTGCTGTGAAATCAGTCATGCCGTTGTGTGCTCACATGAAAAACCACTTCACTATCTACTTTCACATCTCTAAAAAACCAAAAAAACCCTATAATGCTTACACGTAAAAGAGGATCTAGGGTTCTCATGTGCTCCAACCTCTTGCTTGTCTTGCTGACTTTATTTTCTCTTGTTTCTGTGTACTCCCGTCTTGTTTGTTGCCTTCTACTTAGGCATCCTGTTTCTGGGCTGAGGAACTTTGCTTGCACGATGCCTAATTCCTCATGTCTGTAGTCCATGAACAGAGCTTGTGGCTCTGTATTTAAACAGATTATAGATAATCTGTCATATGTCCTTATCTAATGCATTCTAATATACTTAAACTGGGGGAGCATTTTGTAAGTTATACATGGGAGCCTCATCATCAAATCCTATTTGATTTTTGGATTTCTGTTCTAATTCCTATGAATCCGTTTGTAAATGTCCTTTTCTTCACAGAATAATGTCAAACAAATTTTCTGATTGCTGGGTATTGTTTCTCCTGGAATACAATGGTATTTCTCTGAGGTAAGATTTGTCAATGTCTTTACATCTGCTTGTCTCATTGTGACTGACAGTAATAGAAATATCTGGAATTTTGCATACTTTCTTTGTCCTTAGTTTCCTGAAATATTTCCTCATGTTGAACTCCTGAGGTTTTGTTAGCAAACTGTGAAGTAAGATATCTGATATCTTTATTTTCAGTCTACAATGTGAAGACTGCCTAGGTAGCAAGGCTGTAGCTATTGACAATTTTCTTTCTTTATAATACGTTACTTGGGTGATGCAATAAGAACTGGCATAAAAATACCAAGCACAGAACAGATTCTGAAGAGTAGACATACTGCACCATTTGCTCTCAGAAAATCATCCCCACTAACCTGGTCAGCACTAATATGGTAGGAACCTGTGGACTCATTGTCTCTGGAGGAGTTCAAGAACTGTGGGGATGTGGAACTGAAGGACACAGTCAGTGGGCATAGGGGGATGGGTTGGGGTTGCTCTTGATGGTTTCAGAGGCATTTGCCAACTTAATGATTCTATGATTCTAAAGCAGTATGAAATGCTTCCATGCAGTGATAATCCAGATGTCGTGCGATAGCAAGCATCCCTGTTGCATTGCTATTTAGATCAGATAGTTCTCTTACGTGGTTGCAAAGCCTCTATAACCAATAAAGTTCCATATTGCTGTGATCTGTGGCACGTGGGGCATTTTGCAAAGCAGTACTGGTATCTTGGTAGATGAACCGTCTTGTTGGATAGCCAAGATTGTTTTGAATTCAAACAAAGAAATGCTCTTTTGATCAATAGTTTATTACTAGTTCAGGACTCTGTACTTCAGTCAGTATAATCCAAGTACTATCTACTGTAATTTTCTTTCTACCTGATCTGAGCTTGCTGACTCAGGTCTCTGCCAATGTAGACGTTGCCCAGTGGGGACATGCCCTGTGACAGTCGGACTCATCTAGAAGATTATATCTTCCTTTATTCTCTGGAGTATGTTGTGCCATAAGCCTTCAATTCATTCTAGAATTTTATAATACCTTCAAATATTTTTAATGTTTTCTTTAAATGTCCCAGTATTTGTCAGACCGCTCCATCTTCTTGCTCTGCAATTGTGATGATAATTTGGAAAACAAAAGTCACAACCTACATTTTAGAGTTCATGCTTTTTCTCTCAGAAAACATGATTAAAACTATGTTCTCACTGTTCTGAAGCTTTGATTTATTTGTCTTTCACAGACAGATTATTCAAAGTCCCTAATATTCAAATGTAAATATTCAAATATAAGTCCTATTTGCTGTAGATCTTAAAATGAAATCTTTGTTTCTTAAATCTTTGTTTACAATAGTGGAAAGTATCTTAGGCTGAAGAAAAATAGCATTTGGAGTTCATCATTTGGATAAGACTATTACAAAGCTATTTGAGCCAAAAATCCAACATAGAAAAATGCATATTTTATTGCCTCAGGTATATAAGGATGAATTACAGGATTTGAGTCTTAGTTATTTTCTGTAAGAGCTTAAGAATGTTAAAGAACGAGTTAAAAAGTAGTTACTTGTTTCTTTGTTGTTGAGGGGCTTGGGGGTTTTGTCTGCTTAATTTTTTTCTTGTTTTTTTTTCAACTTTCTCTAACCAGAGCTTGAAAGTAGGTCACTGCAGCACAGGAAGGGCCTTGTACAGCAGAAAACAACCACACAGCCACTGGGGATGGAGCTGCATGAGGAATGCAGAGTCATGCTGTGGTTTTGAAGCTGCCTTTGCATGAGCAACACGGTTCAGCAGATCCCAGCTCTGGAGACTGAAAAGTCACCCATAGAGATGCTGCGTGGGCATTTCTGCAGCCAGGCCCCAGGTCAGTTTCATGTAGGGCTGAGGGACATTCTCATGAGCTGGCACCAGCCCTTGGTCTGCTCTGCTGATCCTGAGTGCCAAGAGAGAGTAAATGAGCTACTCTTGGGCAGGAGAAGATTGTTGGTAGCACTTGGTGTCTGCTGGTTGTCAAAACCTCATCCTACTAAGATCCAAGATGTTCTCCTCATTTTCAGATGCCTGATAAAGTGGATGAAAGCTCTTTGACATGATTAGCACATTTAACCTCGGGACCACATTCACCTTTGCACACAGCTGCCTTGCCTCTGGTATCTGCAGAACTCTGGAGTTTGGTGATAAAATGAGCAGGTAGAACACTACAGAACTTCTTCCTTTGATGGGTTCATCCATCAAATAAAACCTTAGGAGACTGTTTTAAATGCTGGGAACAAAAAGTAACCCTGGTATGAGTCGTTGCTTTGTAGACTTAATTTGTGGAGTTCCCAGATCTCCAGAGGTGAGTGAAACCTCTGTTCAGTGAACAGAAATGCTTCCTACAAAATATGGTTGTGGACCCAAACACTTCCATGTGCATATCATCCACAGTGATGGATCCCTATAAAAAAATTGCAAATGCAGGATTTATAATAAAAGCAGTGAACCTGAGTGCTTACAGAAAAGAAATTCAAGTATTTAATAAGCCAGTCCCAAAAAAATCTATTTTTGCTTGTAAATTTGGAGCCCATCATAACAAAAAGAGGTAAGAAAGCAAAATCTGAGGCTTTTTCAAACAGCAGCTTCAAATCAGAGTGGTTCAGCTATATATAGCCCATCCATAGACTGAGCAACAAGATGATGGTGACATGTAAGTAAATGCACATAACTCTTCAGACTTGCTCAGTGTGTTCGTGTACAGAGTCAGTGCCCTTCTCGCTGGACTGGAAGGCTCATCCAGGTGTCTCACATGCTTATGTGTGGACCACATGTTAGATTTTATTTCAAATCTTAATTTAACCTTGAAATTTTAACAGTAATTCTAATGGTAACTACTAAATCAAATGGCTTACAATTAAGGCAAAAACAGTGACAGCTATGTGAATTTTCTTTTCACCTAATAGGAAGACTTTTTTGGAAATATTCCTAGAAATTCCTTGTCCTCAAGTAGTTCCTGGTAGAGATAAATTAAAGGTCCAGTTCTGTTACATTTAACAAGTAGAGAAATGTTTTATGAGTCTGAATAAATTATCAGCGAATGTTCTATGTTTTATTTTAAAAGTGCATAAGAGTTAGAAGAAATGAAAGAGCAGATTGACAACTTTCTCACTTATATTAAATTTTAAAAATTCATTTTTTTGGAAGGAATGAGTTTACAAATTATATTTTCAGTTCCCGAAGTAAGACTGTTACTTTATGGCCACTTGAATTTAATCACATTGAATGAGATATTGGAAAACTCTACCCCAGCATTACTGCTTTGGTTATGCCTCAAACTTGCCTTTTAATATTTGCCAACTTAAGGAAATATTTCAGTCCATCCTCTGCCTTGTTTTCCTTGCTGACATTGTCTATTACTGTGTGGATGCTTGTCCACCAGCCTCTGGACTGACAGCTCCAATTAATCTCATTTCTGCCTCTACCAGCTGCCAGCCTTGCAGACCCAGCAGCCATGACTGGAGGAGGAACGATGGTTTCTTGCAAAAGGTTGCTGAAAGCATCAAGGTCCAGGACAGCAGTGGGATAAATAGCAGAGATGATCCCAGAAAAGAAAAAAAGCACAAAGTCTTCATCTGTGCATGTTAATAATCCTTTCTTGTGTTTTTGTGGGCATGCTTCAAATTTGATTTCATAAGTTCAGACACTTTTTGAAGTAATTATCTTCATTGTCTTGCTGTTGCATTCAGACTTTTCAGCACAGCCACCTCTCAGTTTCTCAGAATCAGATCATCTCTGTTTAGAAGGGAAGTCTCTGGAGCCTTCACTAAACAATATAAAAGGGGAATATCTGAAGTGATACAATTAGTAATGTCTGAAACTACTTGAGGAAACAGATATCTGAAAATCCATTAGGGAGATCATTAGAAATATTCAAAAATTTCCTTTTGTCTGAAAATAGGAGTATTACTGTAAAATGCTTGAAAATACATTTAAAAAAAAAAAGTCAACAAAAACCTTGTAATATACCTTGAAAATATTGCATGAATTATACTTCCTATTAACCACTGAATGACACACAAGTGAAAGACAAGCGTTAATATTTAAATCAAATGAAATGGCAGTCAATGACTTCCCATCCACGGAAGTATTTCATGTGTTAACAGCATGAGCGTTTGCCATGGAAGTATACAAAAATTCCCTTCAGGATTGGGTGGTGTGGAAACTTCAGGTTCAAAGGTGAGGTGATTCCTCCTTGTAAAGATTTAGCACAAGGGGCATTGCTTTGTCCCTCAGTCTGTTGGTTATCTGTCTGACAAAGTCTCGCCCGTAATCTCTCAGCAGACTGTTGCAGCTAATCTCTTTATTGATTTTTGCTTAGAAACACCTGGAGCTATTCAATCACTAATAAAATCTGAAGAGTTCAGGTTTTAAGACTTTAACTCGTTTGGAGGCACGGCTTATTTATCGTCTGGTGGGCAATTGAAAAGCTCTGCTCGTTTCTAAGTAAGGGGATCATACAGACGACTGACAGCTGAATCAAAATTCACCCTACTACTCTGAGCTCCAGTCCAGCAACTCGACTCAACATGTCTCTTTAGTCTTGATGCATCTTTCTTTTTCTTTCCTTGCTATCCCATCTATTTTGGTTTATTTTACCAGTTTAACTGGGGAAAAAAACCACAACAAAACACTTGTTTCCTTAGCAGTGATCACTGTTATCATCAACACTGAATGGAGAATCTGCATGGACCTGGTTTGGAAGGAAAGTCTAATTTTCTGATTGCCTTTTGATTTGCTTTAATAGTATGATAGAATAGTTTGAAAAGGACCTTTAAAGGCTATCTGGTCCAACACTCTGCAATGAACAGGGGCACCCACAGCTCAATCAGATGCTCAGAGCCCCATCCAGCCACTTTGGTGCCTCCAAGGATGAGCACCCACCAGATCCCTGGGCACCCTGTTCCAGTGCTTTACTACTCTTACTGAAAAAGCTTTTTCTTTATATCCAGTCTGAATCTCTCCTCTTTTAGCTTGAAACCATTTCCTTCCTTTCCCTTCTGTCATTTCCTCCTTCTGCCTTCAGCCTGCCCCGTCCCTCTGTCTGACTCAGCCCCCCAGACTTCTTCCCATGTCCTTCAGCAATCACCAAACCCTGTAGGCAGAATCAGCAGGGAAACAAACCCAAGGCACTCTGTCTGGAGTAGAAATCATTACTGGCATAGTCAGCAGCTTCAATATGTAAACAGAAAGTATAAGGGGAAGCTTACTGCGTTCAGATATTTTTTCACCTTTAATTAAAGCCACTTTTTTTTTTTTTTTTAAGTGCAAAATAATGTTTTATTTAACTGTAAATCCTCTGGGACACTGTAAGAAGTAGTAATGTTTCATTGTCTAACTGATATCTAAATCTGTATTGGATAATGTGAAGAAATATCTTAAATGATGAAAGATGGTTTATTATTCCTAAGATAATTTTCTGACTTTTTTTCTTTTAAGGATTTTTAACAGTGTTAACATTTAGACTGGGAATAAAAGAAGACCAGCCACTGATAAAAGGTTTTATTGGTTAAGTTTTAATGTTATTTTTAAGCAAATAATGAATTAGCTTGGCTAATAACTGTAGAGCCAGACATGATTTATTCTCGTAATTAGGTTGACATTCACCATCAATCCTATCATTTTAGTTCACATGGCTATTAAATTTTCTCCTTCTCCAATTCAGCATCATGCTCAACTGTGCCCATGATTATGACTCACTTGCTGGGGCTTTGCATCACTGTTCTGCTCTGCTGGTAGCATCCTCAGAACAAAAACTGTATCGCCAAGCTGTGGCCGTGTTGGGTCAGCACCCAACCCCGTATCCTGCTAGAGCCAAAGCTCAGGCACACTGACAAGCTGTAATAGCTTTCAGCCCTTGCAGATCATGGCTATTTTTGGAGAAGCATCTGAAGCTGCCCAGGCTTAGCTCAGATCAATGGCTCTCAGAGGAACTCAGCACAGCCAAAGCACTTGCACTTGTTGAGTGTACGCCAGCAATCCTCAAGGGGCTAAAGCAACGTTATGTGCCTTTTAATTACAGCATGTATGGCTGGAGAAAAGAAATTATCTCGTTTGTGTCAAGAAGGTGGGACAAGTGGGTGATTTCTCAACTGCTGGCCTTTATGAAATTGAAACAAAGGATACATTGCAAAGCTTTCTCGTTTCTTCTTTTCGAAAAAGTTCTCTACCTAGCAGTCATTTTCAATGTTTGAGACAGACACAAGCCTTAGATTATTAGGAAATTGATTTCATTTCAGTAACTTCCTTTATTGAGTTGTATTTTGGAAAAATAAATCATGTATATCAAGATGCTGTTAATTCTGTAGCTAAAAATCCATTAAGTGCCTTTGATCATACTCACAGCAGTAAGATGTTATCTGAACCTTCCTGTGTGTTCCCATATTGGCTTGCAAACTCTTTGTCATATTGATGTTTAGGAATAAGTATTCATTTACCATCAAACTGCATAGCTTGTATAGCTTTTTTTTTTTTTTTTTTAAGAGTACAAGCTTGTTGGTGAGTGCTTGCAGTATGTAAGTGTGACATTTAATCACACACTGGTGCTGTGAGCCAACATTCATTGCTCCCACGGCAAGAAGCAGTGCTCCTCTTGCAACAACTGGGTCACCTTCTCAACTCGGTTATTATACTGTAGTTCACACTTTTGCCTGTTGACAGATTTAGAGCACTTTGTGAAAGCAATAATTGGCCTGGGAATATAGCTGGCATGCTTCCCCAGAAAAGAGCTTGAATTAGATTGCCTTAGGTTCTTTCATTAACTGGTAAAACTAACGCAATGTGCTATTGCAATCGCCATGCCGTTTCAGGAACGTGCCGAAGTCCTGCTGCAGGAAGATGGTGTGTACCCTTCCAGGGGAAGGTGACTGGAATTCCTGATCACTTGAAACACGTGGCTACCCACAAAAGGCAGCAAGGTGGGGAATGTGCCACTGCCTGTCAGTGGACATTGTAGTGCTGAACGGATGCTGACGGTGAGCAAGGAGGTCTCTTCTCCCTTTCCTCATCAGGAAGGAAGGCAAAGAGACTTGACCAGTGGTAAAGATGTTCAACTGGGTTTGGGGCTTTTTTTTTTTTTTTTTTTTTTTAATGTATGAGGCTGGCTTCTTCTTTTGTCTTTATCTCCAAAGGAGTAAAATTGCTTTTCCTGACTGTAGAAAGATGCTTCAGGAATTTAATGCTATAGGGTCATATTCTGGCTATCAATATTAATGCTTTAATCCTGGATTTGGAAGTGCCTTCTAGAATGTTACCAGAAAATTCTTCACTTTTGAGGAGTTATTAATAATACAGGAGGAGGAAAATGTATCACATTTGAGCTATATATGTGAAAGCTCCCATTGAAGAGAATGTGTCTGAGATGATTTAAAGCTCCTGAAAGAAATCCTGTATAGGATCTGTAAATTTATTGTTAATTGTTATCAAATAGGTACCTAAAGAGCTAAGGAGTTCTATTTGTGCAATTGCTTTACTTCTTCAAAATGAAGATGTATTGAAAGCAGTGGAAGAGTAAAAATAGAATTGTTATGTAAAATTGTTTTGGAAAGAAAATAAAGTGTTTTTCCATCTCAACATCCCACTTTGTTCCGTTCACCGTGATTCTCTTTCCTCTGGAAAAAAAAAAATCCCACTGATTATACACCTTATGCCTAGTTTCCTTCACGGAAGGTAATTTTAGGAAATTAATTTCCCTCATTAGGTTGTATAACTCAATATTAATTTACTGAAATGATCAGGGGAAGGGAAGGTAGAATCATCTTTAAATATTAACATATGTCAGTTAGAAACCTGGGAAGTTTATTGTTGCTGTCAGATGGGGGAATTTTGTTAAGTAGTCTTATATGAAGGATGGTCTATAAAGTCCCTAATAAATATCTTCATACTGGAACACTTGAAAATGTTAAGGCAGCTGTAGTGTATTACACTCACAGATTTGTTACTGGATGAATTAAAACTAAGCACATGCTCTTAGGTTAAGCCATGCCTCTAACTCAAAAAATAATTATATATACACTTACTGAACTTCATATATATATATATATTTATATATATATGTAAATTAAAGCCAAAGTAATAATTTATATTCTATCATAGACAGTAAGACTCCATGTATACCAGGTATGTTATCCAGGCCTCTGTGTACAATAAGTACATGATATGTATTAAATTCTTCATCCCAGCAACACTGAATTAGAGAAAGTACATGGAATAAACAAAGTCTTATGCGAGAAAAGAAGTGAGATTGCTTTCTGCAGGTATGTCCCCAGAAGCTTTATACTCATGTTTTTAGACATCCTTCCAATTAAAGAAATAAATGAATAAATAAACACAATGGTAAAATAAATATTCCTGGCTAAGAAATTATCATGAGCTAGATATCTCTGAGAGTTATCTACTCATGAAATGAGTTTGATTTTAATAAGAGATTTACACGAGGAGGTATGATATTAAAATATTCAAGTCTCTCCAAAATACTTTTCTGACGACAATTTTCTATTCCAACAACCCTTGTTGGGTGTATCACCAAAGAGGTTATTAGTTACATTTTGGGGGCTGGAGAAAGCCTTTGGTAGAAGTCTTTCAGAAGATGATATTGTAGAATCTACTGAGATGTGAAGCAGAGTTTCAATCAATACAGATTCTTGCTCAACGCACACCAGTTTTCAAATCAGTCATCAAAGTCTTGTGTGCACAAACATAAGCAGTGCAGTACAGCCCAGGGAATAGATGCTGTTTTGCTGATGAGGGCTAGATGCTCACTGAGAATGTTATGTTAATTGCTAGTCAGCCTGTCAGAAAGAAATAATGTAGAAAAAGAAAAAAGTAGTGAGCATTTCAGGCAGGCAATGCAGAGCACTGGATTTCTTGGAAGGCTGCCGCAAGAGCTGGGTGAGGAGATTGAGGTAAGCTGTTCCAGGCAAGAAATAAATCAAAGGGATATGCTTAATTTATATATTCCAGTAAATAATTAATGAGATAATGGGAGTAAACTATCTGCTGATATTTATTCATTTAATAATACAATGAAAGCAAAAAGTTGTCAAGCGTGCAGGTCACTATGGGAGAAATACCAAGTAATAATAATAAAAAAATAAACAAAAAACAACATCATCAGTAATATTGAAACTCTTTGCCTTAAGTCTACGTACATCAAGGCAAAAGATTTAATTGGGACAGAAAGCAATGCCTCAGTGTTTGCGTCTGGATCCATTCTTGGTTCCCCTACATTCTTTCAGGCATATTTTACCCTCCAGCATTGGATTAGAGGCTATTTTCCTCTAAGAGAAAAATTAAAAAGATAATCTTTTGACTGCATTTGCCTGTAATAGGGTGCCTTATAATTTTCTCTGATGGATTTGTCATTCTCCACTGGCAGGTTTGGATGATGTGGCTGTAAGTCTGCTGTAGTGAGAAAGTTATTTTTTACTGTGATATACTTCTTAAGGAGGAACATTGAGCTTGGTTATACCATATTCGACTACTAACCAATACAGACTGTCACAGAAGGGAGACTGATATTGTGGCAAATGTTATGCATACGTTCAAGTATCTTTTATTTCTTCATTCCATTCATGTTTAGACTTAAGTGTAAGGGGTAGGCTAGCCAAGGAGAAAATTCTCCACAAAATTTGAATTTGGTGTTTCAGACTTGGATTACAGACAACACCTAATGGTAAGGAACTTCTTTCCATTAATGTGTTACCAGAACAGTGCTGAAGGGCCAGCTGTTCAACTCTGCCACAAGCTCAGTGAGAAAATGGGAGAGATTTAGATTTCCATGCTCCTGAATATGAATAAATCTCCTGCTAACTCCTTTCTGCTCAAGTGACTTCTCACTGGGACTCATAAACATGCTTCACAAGAGCATGGTTGCAGGCATTTTCCTTTGAAAGGAGCAGGCTGTTCTCCACAGGTTATTTACCCTTAATCCCATCCTCAAGTCGTGAGAGGACCATAGTGAGTCACACATGATACGTGCAGGCCAAAATTTTCACTGCTGGATGTCGAAGGGTAACTACTGAGATCCAAAAGATCCAAATAAAAACCCACAAAACAACAACAACAACAACAACAACAACAACAAAAACCCAGCAGTGCAACAGTTTTAGCCTAAAATCCCCCTAGCAAAATATAGGACCTTGATGCATGTGGCAATAGGCTACCACAGAAGCCAAGGGTGCACTCGCTGTTGCAGTGGGTTTGAAAACACTCATCTTTGAGAGATAAATCCATTCCCTTGCAAAACTGCTGCCTAAAATCTTGGTAAAATACATTTCCTCCATGACAGGAGCATAAACAAAAAACAATAAAAACAGACACTCAGCAGTAAAAGGAAGGGGAATGATAGAATTGAACTTGAGATCTAAAAGTCACTGCAGAAGGAGAGAAGCTGGTTAGTGAACTTAAATTACAGTAAATAATGACAGAGCTTCAGGAAAAACAGATTTTGCTGAATATGCTTTTCAGCGTAAGAAATGAAGCCACAAGTTGAGAGTAGAACATTAAGCATACATAAATGATGAGAACTGGGAATAAAAAAAAAAGTGAAAGACGAGTTAGTGTTTTACATAAAACATGAACAAACGGTTAGCAACATTTTACAGCTAAAAGGAGAAATTTTGTTAGGCCTGTGTGGGCCATCTATGTCCATCTCTCTTCAGTTTTGAAATCTGTAGTGTGAATGGTGACCTAATTCACGCACAAATACCCACATCCCATCCCAAGTGCAATACTGCAGAGTGGCATAAAAAGAACTTGTCAAACTGGGACAAGACATAAACACTGACATTCTGCCTCTTTCAAAATATCTGTCTGACTTAAACAAAGTTTTTATTAGTTCTAACTTGAAGGATTCAACATATCTTAAAGTATTCATACAATCACAGACTCATTAAGGTTGGAAAGGACCACTAAGATCACCAATGTCAACTGTTGAGCCATCACCACCATGCCCACTGACCATGTCCCTATAACATACCTACATCTAAAATTACCCAAGCACCCTTGTGCTCATATTTGAATGATTATATCTCATAGCCTTAACTAAGAATGTCTTTATGAGCTCAGTATTCTGTCTCATTTTGATGTGAGAGTTTGAACACAAACCCAAATGAATGTGGATAAATGAGTGGTGTTTACTACTCTTGATAATACTTATGTGAAATTGTTATAACTTTTTTTCCTAATTAATTTTAGACAATTTTTAAATCTCAGCTTATGCCACTGCCACTTTTCTCCTAGGCAGACTCAAAATATTACCCAGAATGTCAGTCTTCAATCTGGGTTGAAAAATTCTCAGATAAAAATATTGACTTGTACATTTGCTACCTTAGGTGAAGGATGCAGGTTTCTCCTTACGTAATACTTTGATTTTGACCCTCAGAAATAAATAAAAGATTGTCTCTAACATTTCAACAGAAGTTAAAGCAGAAAAAGAGACAATGTTAAAGGACTTGCAAAGATTGAACGAAAATATTTCCTGGCATTTCAATGACAGTGTTTGACCATTACAAGAAATCAATTTGCAGCCATTGTGGACAGCCAGCTGAGACTGAGATGAAACAGTTCCAATGGGAAATGTGCCACATGACAGTGGGAATCATAGTCCTCCATTTGTGTGAAGAAGGGATTTTTAGAGACCAGGAGAAATACATTTTCTAGGAAAGTGGGAAGTGAAATGCGTGAATGCAAAGGGATCACATGTACTTTTGTTCTAAAACATTCCAAGTAATATTCTTAAATCATTATTGATATTATTATTTTTAGAATTTAAAATGAAATGCATAAATTAGAAAAATGCGTTTTTCTAATTACTCTAAAAAGCGTATTTAGGAATTGAACGTGGTGTTTTGTACATTGCTCCTCTGTATTTTACTTTGAAAGAGAAAGTGAATTCTTAATATAAACTCCAAAATCCACAGATATCGCTCTCTACAAGTATTTCTTATTTACTGCTGGTCTTCCTTCTACCTCTGTCAGGCTGACTGGTTGGAAGGTGTAATCTAGATTACATTTGTTGTTCATAGAACAATCTGATGTAAAGCAGGCCCATATTTGTACACTGTTGTAGTGACCGAAGGAGCAGATTCTCTCTTTGGAAAGATACCTTGGAACATGTTGAGGATTTAAAAACCCTTAGAAGTCCCCCTAGGACCTGTTGCATCAGGCAGTGCTTCCCAGCATCTTAAGGCAGAGCTTCTGTGGGCTTTCCAAGGTGCCTGGCCAATTTTAAAGCAACTTGTTTTTAAAGCTAGAAATTATTCATCTGCTCTGTTTGCTGTCAGCATTTTCCCTTAAGCCAACATCCTAGCAAAAAGTGTCTCCTTGATAGGGTTAGACCCGAGCTGCAGGAACATGCTCAGGGTCTCAGCTGCACTGCTGTTCCACCACAGGGGCACTTTACCCTTAAAACTTTTCTCTTTGGCAGGTGTTAG